GCCTGTACTTGTGCTTGGGATATTTTCTTCCTAGGGATATTTCACAGTAGTGGCCAGCAGAACAAACTGACTTAAACAATTCAAGAATGGAGGAGCAGCTGGAAACAAGGTCAATGTGTAAAATTTTCACACTGGTGTCCTACATTAGGACATCTATTTGTATATGCTAAACTAAATGGGTCTGCTCTAGGTTCCTGCAATATGGTATGACAACAGAACAATAACAAATCCTACCATATGAGCAATCTCACCTCAGGAATCATTTACTGAATACATCTTTATTAATAATAATTGCATAAGTGAACAGAACTTCTGCAGTGACACAAGATGATGGGATGATATTAACTCACAGAGGTCTGATGTGCACACATAAACCAAGCATAAGAATGCCTCCATGTATTTTTAACACCTTCTAACCTACAACCCTAGGAAAAAATTGCAAGGCTAGCTAAAGCTTTAACACCAGATTCACATTCACATTGCGGAAAATTGGATCTCCAGATCCCTTGTTAACCTTGAAAACCTCTGCAAGTTCTGAATGGAATTTTCTAAAGCACTTGGTGTTGGCAAAACACCACCAGCAGATGTGGTGAAGGCATCACCTGTGCGCTCCCTGACAGGTCGCATTTACACTTTTAAGAGCTGTTTCTAATCATGCAGAAGGATCCCATTTAAATGAACTAAAGGAATGAGACTCTGAATTGCCTGGGAAACATGAACAAGCCAACACCCAAAGATGCATCTTCCTGGTAGCCAGCCCACCTCACAGCTCTCAGGAGAAACTCCACTTACTAATCAACCACAAGTTTTATTTGCCAAAACCACTGTCTGCAGTTTCCCTCCAACTGAACTATTCAGAAAGATCACTGTTGCCTTATGGAGTACCATAGCCACCTTTCTTGGTGTGATACACTTCAACTGACCTTCCACTTCCAGTCTTGTGAACAAGCGGGTGCAGGAATCATGGTTTCTAAATGTGGGGCATGGGGAAAATACTTACTTGTTCAGCTTTTTGGTATATGACAGAGCAGCAGACAAAATTGCAAATAATACTGAGCAGTGGGTAACACCTTGTAGTTTCTTGATGGCCAAGAGGGGAGACAAAGTGTGCATGCCGTAAGGGCTGGTAGCAGGTGGGCAGAGGCTAAGTCCTGCCTCTGTTGAGCTGATCCTGCAGCAAGGTGAGGCCACAGAGTCGAGGTTTCAAACATCCCATCTAAATGGTATTTGTACTTTTTCCAACCGCACATGTTGTGCAATTGCTAGTTCTGACACATGCACAAAGCAGTCTATAGAGTCTTTGTGGGTTTCGCTTGGAAATATAGGTAAACTGAGTACTAATTTGTGTTCCTACTATAACTTACATTATAAAGTAGCATTTTATCTGAAAGATCTGCCTTTTAAGCATAATCATTGTCCCAGACTGATAGTATTTCCAATTTTAACTAATAATCTTGGCTAGTACTCTAATATAACAAAGCTACTAGTAAAATACTTATAACACAAGTGCAACCCCAATTCAACTCAGCAACGGACAAAGCCCTTCTCTGATCTCAGCCAAATCTGTAACTGACAGAGTTGTATGAAGACAGACAGCCTGCTGTTACCATCACCTTCCCTCATTCTTGTTGTGGCTTCCCATCCTGTACAACAGGGACCAAGCCCCAAGGCAACACCATCCCTTGGCATTGTACCTGTTGTATGCTACTTTGGGAGCATGTTCTACAAAGTGCTGTTCAGCCACATCTGTAATGCAGGGGTGAAGATGAGAACTGAACCTGTCACTGACACCACCAGAAATACCCACAGGAAGATTCGATCCAGGACTTGAGCTACAAATTTCCAGTCTTGGACAACCTGGGAAGGAGAGAGGGAGAACAATAAGAAACAGTAACGAGCTCAGGACTCTGATTGATACTGCTACATATATTTCAGCTCCAAAGACCTGTTTTTAAAATTAGAATTTTGTAGTGCGCTGTGTTCTAAAACTGATATGGATCACCTTTTTAGCAGCCATAGCCATGAGTCGCTCAAAACACCCAAACAGTTCCGTAGCTTTACACACATGGTAATCAGACTTCTGTTTGTGCAAAAGCTTTTACCTAAGTGCATATGTAACAGTTTACAGACTGAAGCTTCAAGATGGCTTTATAATGAACTAGGTTTTTTCCACACAACGCCATTTCCCTGGATGTGTTAGGATCTGGCACTAGCAATGCACTTTGATGCAGACATCGCTTCCAGTGCAAGTGGTCCCATTGGCTTGTGTTGGCTTAAGTGCTCTGCTGGCTCAGACTGTGGGCATTCAGGAGAGGGGTTTTGCATTGTGAGCACTGGCACAACCCTGCACACACAAAGGAGCTATTTATAAATTCAAGGGATTTTTTTATTTTTTTTTTATTTCAGCTTCGAATAGGAACCATGGATGCTGTATGCTCACATACTGCATGTTCGACTTAATGCCAAAGTTGTCTCAGCACAGTCTGAACAGAGCCCTGTCTTTTGCTAGGAGAGTGATAACAGAAGTCTTATTCTTTCTATATGCTGCTAGGTGCCTTGCTCTGCTGTCCTACCCTTGCATGAGATGCATTGTTTATGCACACAGTAATTTACTATTTTAACAGCCAGGAGGATTGTTGGGAGAAGAAAGATGGAATTTAAGGACTAATCTGAACTGTTGTTAGCGAGAGTCTGGAAGACCTCCACTCAAAGCAGGGCAGCTACAGTGTGTAGAGTTGTTGGCAGTCCAGGACTGAGACCTAGCAACTACCATAGAGTCTGCCTGTAGCTGTTAGGAAAGATACACCCTTTCAGAGCATGTTACAATTCAGAGATTTTTCCAGGCCCACGTCTATCCCCAGTTTAAGCAGGACAAGGTTATTCAAATAATCCCAAAATGAGAATTTCTCCAGGAGAGGCTGTTGTGACCTCTTGGGTCTATGAAGAGCAGGGCCTCTGAGAGCACAATGCAGTTCTTGAAGCAATGGATTTTCCCAGAAACCACATTATTTATCAAGCAGGGAAAGCTCCCAGGACATAGCTCAGATGACAGCAGGAGGTAGGGGCAAAGGCATGCAGAAAAGGGAAGACCTTGGAAGCCATTGCTGTCAAGGAAACAGTGATCCCTCCTTGCCCTTCCTTCACCTACCTGTCTGATGAAGTGTTCCTTTTTAACATGCCTGGAAATGTATCGAATTGAGTCGGCTGCCTTTTCCAGAAAGGCAATAACAATTTTCTCTCCATCTTTCACTTGATTATGCTTCTGCTCCCCCAGGAGCTTTGATTTCAAGGTGGTTTCCTTTTCTTCAGTCTCTGAGAAGGAGTAACGATCTACATGGCCCTTCATACAGAGCAGCCGAGGCAACTTCTGAAGGAAGAGTCTTTTAACCCAGGGAGCCATGGGATGGTAAGTTGCTGAGGAGCGGTGGTGGACATTGATAACAAATACAGTCACGATGATAGAGAGGGTTACAAAAATCATGATGAACAGCAGATACTCACCAATCAGAGGTATGACTTTTGAAGAAGAAGGGATTATTTCCTCAATCACTAAAAGGAAAACAGTGAGGGAAACTAGAACTGATGTAGACAATGAAAGCTTTTCTCCTTCATCTGAAGGCAGGTAAAACACCAGGACAGTTAGAAACGACAACCCCAGGCAAGGGATTATTAAGAAAAGAGTGTAAAACAGCGGGAGGCGTCTCAACACAAAGGAGTAAGTGACAAATGGGTAAGAGTACAACCCATCCTTCCTGTTGCCTTTCATACCTTTGGCATTTAAGATCTCCCACTCCCCATTATCAAAGAAGTCTTTCCTGTCTACATTTTCATCCACTAAAATCAAGTCCACCATACTGCCATCATAGGTCCATGACCCAAACTTCATGGAGCAGTTCTGCCTGTCAAAGGGGAAGAAGGTCACGTCCATCGTGCAGGAGCTCTTATAACTGGCCGGTGGTGTCCAAGTCACTAGTCCATTGTACTTCACTATGACTTTGGTCATCAGGGATCCTTCAAAACGTCCATCAGCACTAGAAGTTGGACAAGAAGAAAGAGTACCGAAGTCAAGACCCTGTTTGCCCCAGTTCTACCCCCCACCCCCCCACCCCATACACCTCCCCATCACCTGAAGCACAAGAAAAACCAACATTCAGTCTTCTGACAGCACACGCAAGCTTCACAATGGCTGACATGCCTCGCCCAAGGTCTGGCCTAAGCCCAGAGCAAGGAGCCATGCTACTCACTTTTCAAACAAGACAATGTCAGGAAGCCACAGGGACTCAGAGGGGACACGGATGGTGGTGATCCCACCGTATTCCTCTGGATTCCAGAAGAGCTTGTGGTCGATCCATTCCTGTAACAAGCCAGCAGAGTCCTCTTCCCACTCACACACAACAGCCTTGTTCCTCCTACCACCCCCTGCCTCAGAGGGACTGCTTTGCACAGCACAATGGGCAGGGCTGGGTGTAAGACTGCTCAGATGCAGAGGAGGGCAGGTAGGCATGGCTGGGAGATGTTAATCCCCAAAGTACTGCCCCTCCTGCCACAGGTGAGCCCCATCCACCCATCCCTTTGCAGGCAACCTTGGGGCAGGCACCCCTGGAGAGCACTGCCTCTCACTTCACTCACCACCCTGCCCACCTGAGGGTAGTACAGAAGGAAGAAGCCACTTTGCTTGGGTATAGCATCTCTTCTTCCCTCTGAGAACCAGCCTATGTTGTTTTTGCCTGGCACTGACCCCATAGAAGAGTCAGCTGGCATGGCTGCTACTGCCCAAGTGACAGTGAGGTGGCCTTTAGTTGCTTTTCAGTGGAAAACTGGATTTACTGAGTGAACAGAATACAACACCTAATATTTGTACACTCTCTTTCCAAACCAAATCATTGTTCTTTCATGAGAAATACCTGCATGCTATTGCAGGAAAAATAATATGACACTAATGTAAAGTGTTTGGTTACAATCCTGAAGAGATAGCACTATAAAAAAGAAAAAGCAGGGGGAGTCCTGTCCATTTCTGTCATGCTGAACTCCAGAATAATTTTTCTCTCCTCATTTTGTTTTTCAGGTGTGGAGATTCTAGCAAAGTAGTTCTAGCAACCTGGAGATTTCTGCAGAGGTGCAGTGGAAAAGCAGTTCTCTGATCCCCATTTATTATTGATGGGGGTTTTCACTTGCCTGTAGGAATAGCAGTGAGAGAAAGCAAGAGCTGTAGACTGTGGTCAATACCAAAAAGCAGGAGACTAACAACTTTCCATTAAGCTCCAGCACTAAGAGCTCCCCAGGGATGTGGGGCCTCAGCCTTCTCTGAGTAATTTCTTCCATGACATAAGGATGAACAAAAAAGCTGCTTCCCCCACCATATTGTTCCCCTCTTACTTCTGTGGTTCCGCATGCTTTCACATGCTCTTCCTACAGACACTTGCAGTCCTTTACAGTGTGACAGCAACCCAGAGCCTCAGCAGAGACCTAAATACAGACTGTGACAAGTATCTTCCTCCTCCAGCTGCAGGGAAGGGAAGGGACCCAAGGTGGCTGGTAGATCCCTCTTAAAATCTGTCCCAAGGCAGAAGTGAAGGAGGCAGTTGCCAGTGGTACCATGGTGGGATTAATGGCCCCACTGCCTGTACCAGAAGAGACATGGACCCGCTCTCTGAGCTACCAAAATAGCTGGTGCCAGCTGTCAGGCACAGGTCTCCACCCCTGGCTCCGGCTGCTGAAGGAGGAATGGGGGCTGTTCAGGTGCAGAGAGAGAGAGGAGGGGTCACTGCTGCTCTCAGCCTCAGCAGCAGGGACAGAGCACACCACTTTCGGTGTGAACTTTTCTCTGTGGGTGGGTATCTGCCGGATGTTTCAAGCAGCCTGGGCTGTTAGGTGAGCACAGACTCACATGGGTCCTGGATGCCTCCTGTACGAGGTGCAAGGGGGCTTACACTGGAAGCATGCTGAGGGGTAGCCAGGACTGACAGAAGCAGCCAACATGGTCAGCTCATAGCTTGCACCAACACAACAGAAGCAAATATGCCATGAGCTACCTGGGGATATAATCATCTCTCTCGGATTGAACTGGAGCAGCCCCTTGGCCTGGGTGATTTGCTGCATCTGCAATACTCCTCCATACCCCCTGTCTGCATTGATTTCTCTCCCAGCCAAAGTGCTCTTTCATGTCTGCAAGGCAAATGGCTGTGTGTCTTCTTACTAGAGCAGAAAATAGACTGTGAGCAGACCTCAAAGACGAGCCGTTTAAAACAGGAATCTCCCTGTGGGCAATGCTGACACCAACCGTAGCAGCAGATGCCAAGGGCCCTTTCCCCTCTTCTCCCTTTCTTCCAAGCTGTTCGAGATGCCTTCATTCCTCTCCCCTTTCTCCAGTTCTCCCAATTTCCCATTTCTGAGCTGTCACTCACGTGCTTAACCCACACCAGGAAACACCAGTGCTAGTAGACTCCATGGCTGGCCCAAACCCAGATACTTTCTCAGCAGCCACTAAAATCTCCTCTGCATCTCGTGTGTCTGCCTGCATGCATATCATCAAGTCCCACTATCTTGAGCATCTGAATTTTTGAGGTTAAAAAAAAAAGAAAAATAAAACCCTTGGATCTAATCTTTGCCAACTTAAGAAAAGCCAGACCCTTGCAGAGAAACGATGACTGTGATTCCCCCTCAATCTCACACACTCAGGGTGAGAACCAGACCCCTAAACTCCCCAACTCCTGCAGAAGGACAGGGTCTGTGTCATTAGAGAATTCTGCTTTGTTTTAATGTTTTTCACTTTCCCCTACACAAAGGAAAAACATTATTTTAATTCTGCTTAGTTTTACAGACCATTTCCCAGCTGATGTGCTTATGCACTCTAATGATCCCCCAAGCACTGAATTGCATGTGGCACCAGTTGCCACCAAGCCTACGGAATGCATGACTCCCAAAGCAGGACACCTGCATCCAGCCACAGGTGTTTAGTACTCAGCCTGACCTTAGATGTCCTGGGGACATCTGCAGGCATAAAATCAGGAGCTGCATCTCACTTATTTTCTGCTCCCCTTGCATTTCTTTCCGGCCTTCATGTTCCTCAGATAGAGAAGGGGTATTAGAAACAGTAACAACTAGTAAGAGCCCAGCTCAGTAATTCTGAAAATCACAGTATTGACTTGCCCTAGGGAGCTGCCCTGGATAAAATCTGAGCACTAAGGCCTCCATAGAAATGAACATGTCTACAGTGCAGCTTCCTGGGTAGGTCCTTCCTTTAGAGACAGCATGAGGCAGAAGAAGCAGAAAAAGTGGCTTCCCCCCACACCTGAGAGGCATTGAGTAGGTGGTGGCATGTCCCTCCCTCCTCAGCACGTCTGGAGTAACCCACAGCAGAACCTCACTTCCCACAGCAAGGGTGGTAATTCAGGTTCTGGGCCGTGACTCTGGGGAGGTCAGTGCTGGAGGACAAACAAGGTGCCCAGTGTGGAACCCCACACAGGTTCATGCAGCAATGGAGAGAGGATCTTTAGATGTCTCTCTGCATTAGTGTCTTTGGCCTAATGCCTTTGGGCAGCCTGGACTTGCATTTCTCCATAAAAACGAAGGCTCTGGGGAGACCTTATAGCACCTTCCAGTACCTGAAGGAGCCTACAAGAAAGCTGGGAGGACACTTTGTACAAGGACAGGTAGTGACAGGACAAGGGGAAGTTGCTTTAAACTGAAAGAGGGTAGGTTTAGATTGGATGTGAGGAAGAAATTCTTTCTTCCCAGAGAGGGTGGTGAGGCACTGGGACAGGTTGCTCAGGGAAGCTGTGGATGCCCCATCCCTGGAAGTGTCCAAGTCCAGGCTGGATGAGGTTTGGAGCAACCTGGTCTAGTGGAAGGTGTCCTTGCCCATGGCAGGGGGGTCGGAACTAGATGGTCTTTAAGGTCCCTTCCAGCCTAAACCATTCTGTCATTCTATGATCCTGTCCTGGGTGTAGATGTCACCTAGCCAGAGGAGTGAAGGCTGCCCCAGGGCATAGGAGAGTTTGCTGTCCTGAATGGAGCAAGCAGCAAAGTATTCCCTAAAGAGACGGCCAGACCCAGGAATATGCTGTCAAAGGCTGCAAAAGGTTGTAAAATCTTTCTGGGGACACTTGCAGGAACAGAGAGTGAGGAGGGTGAAGTGGGTTGATTTCAGACCTGCAGACTATAGAGCTTGGACCCGCAGGGGGAAGTGGGTGCTGCAGTCTGCAAGGAGAGAGGGTGGGAATGGGGAGAGGACAGATGTGGGGCAAGGGGTTACCTATGTAGGAGGGTTCTGTTGTCTACCCAAGAGGCTACTCAAACAAAGCAAGGAAGCCAAGGTCTGGCCCTGTGTCCATGAGGGGATCTGCAACTGCAGCTGAAGGTGGGGAAATTGTAACGCCACAGCTCTTTCAGGGCAGGCTTTCAGCCGCTGGCTTTTTAGGAAATTTCCCCAGCAAAAAGGGAAATTCCTGCTCCCTCTTCAAGGGAGAAACCATCTTTGCATATAATGTCCATACAGTCTCTAGGGGTCCTGCTCCACCCAGAAGCTCATACTCACTGCAGTACTGCAGGTACCAGACTGAAAACAAAAACTGAGCCGCATTTCTCCCCCACCAGCCCAGCGACCCCTGGGAACCACTTCCCATGGCATTATTTCAAGTACAGCTTGGGTTTTATGTACACTGCCTAGGATCAGCTGACACGTATATAGATACTCAGATGGCTGAGAGACTTAAAATAATTGTCACAAGGTCAATAAACTGGTGCAATGTAATCTAAACCAAATGCAGTGTTCTTCAGAACTGAAGAAGAAAGGAGACGTAACAGTTCAATTTGCACCTTTCTGTCATTTGTATAAATTATCGTTGCTTCCAGAAGAAATTATGTCAGAGAGATCTAATTAATTTGACATAGATTTTAATTTGGAGCAGGGGATAACAGGCTGGCCTTTTCTTTCCCTTTATTTATGCTGCAGAAGAAATCTATCCAAGGCACCACTCTTAGCTTGGGCAAGAAAGACAGTACTTGCATGACCTCTAAGTCTGAGGCAGGATAGTCCCTTGGGGCACACACAGCATCCAGGGACAGCCAATGTAGTATCATAAGATGTTACTTCCCTGAAATACAGCTGGAGTGAGCACACAGCACACAGCTGGGGTGCAGGAGAAGGGGACTAAGGGCCCGCCTGCCTGCCTTTTGCCCTGTGACACGTGCTGAAGTGAGAGGAATGAAGTAAAAACTCCAGGCCAGTTAACATGGTGCTGATTTTGTCTGGTCATTTGGCATCACAGAAGGGAATGGGTCGCAGCAGACTGGGGTGGCCGCTGAGCTCAGCAGCTTGCGTGGAAAGGGAGGTTCTGATTTGGTCTGATTTACCTGCTTCAGCCACACGTTCGTTGTCATCAGCTGATTCTTCTCATCCTAGGATGACACAAGGTAAAGAAGATTGCAGTACCAAAACAGCCGGCAGAAATAGACCATATGTCTGCTGAGTCCAACCCTGCTCCAAGCAGCGAGATCTGCATGGTCCTGTTTCCCCAGGGGAACACCAGGGATGGTCTGGCATGTACTGTTTGATTAACCCCTGATGGAATGAGGCCTTATTCTCTGAGAACAGTGGGGGAAAAAAGGACATTCAGTTTTGCTTCAAAACAAATGAGTCTTAGGGCCCATACTGTGTGTGGGGCAGGAGGTTGTGTCACCAGCACTGCACCACACTCAGTGTTTCGTTGCCTGACCATCACTTAGCACTCCATACCTCAGGAGGCAAAAGCCAACAGTATCACCAGCCCTCCCAGGTGGGCACACAACTGTCTGTAACAGATGGGATGTTTTACCAAGCCCAAAAAGACACTTACCACATCCACAAGCTGTGATATCTTTAATCCAAAAAGGACTTTGATGGTGTCGTTGGAGTTTTCCACAGGGCGGACCCATTTCTGATAGCCTTGAAATAAGTACTTGAGGAGCGCATCCTCATTTTCAGCAATTGATCCGAAGGAGGCTGCATCTGGAAGAGAGCAACAGAGAGTAGGGGTGTACGGAAAAGCAGACGTGGAGAACAGCATGACCTGAAGAAGTGAGGCAGAGTGGCGATGTGTGACAATTTTGCCTCTAGGCAGCTCTTGTCAGTAAAATCTGTGGGAATCCAGATGCACAGACTCTTGGCAGAGCCAGGGCAAAGAGAGGTTAGCTCAAACCTAACTCACACACAAAATAAATTATCAGAGCAGAGCAGTGATAACTTTGCACTACGTTTCTGTTTTCTGTGGCCTTTCTGTCTTAAGTCAACATACTTGCCCAGTCAGCCTTGTTTATTATTCTTCAGAAGACCTACAGGCTCAGAGCATCAGGTGGTCTCTTTCACTATTGAGTAGTAAATACGCAGCCTGATAAATGCCACCCTGAGAAGGAGTTCTGGTTTTTCAGATACCTGTGGTGTACCACAGAAAACCAGGTCCACCAGGGAAACCTGGTCTCTGTGGGGCAATCCTTGCCTGGCCAGCTTACAGGTAGAAACAGCAGCAGTACACTGTGGGCATTTCAGGGCCCAGGGATTTCACTTGCCGCAGTTAGTTTCTATGGCCTCTTTGAGATGGCAGCTGCCCTGGACAAGGATTGTGTTGGGATTTCCTCACTGGAAGCTGCAGGGCCTGTAAACTAGATCTGAGGGAGCCTCATCCACCACTGAGGAATGAATCCTCCCTCTGGGTTTAACCAGGGGATAGCAGCAAATCATTGATAAAGCTAAATTCTCCCTGTTGGGGCATGGGTTGGGTGGGCAACAGCATTGGCAGAGCAAAAAGCAAAAAGACTAGATGATCTTTAAGGTCCCTTCCAATCCAAACGATTCTATGATTCTATGATTCTGTGATCTGGCAGCAGGATGAGCTGTATGATGCAGCCAGGGCCAGGTCTGCCCGCAGCCAAGCACAAAGCCACAATGGTCTGAACTTGCAAGGCTTGGGACTCTGCTGGTCACTGCCACCACATTCCCCTTTTCCCCTGCTACCATGAAAGAGGAAGGGCAGTTTAGGCCCTCCATTATTTCCCAAATGCCAGCCCCACTCTCTGTGATGCTGAGGTCCCGACACAACCTCCACCTCTTCCCTTGTGTGCACACACAGCACTCAAGGATGAGAAGAATTTCACTTCTCATCAAAGACACCATGAAGGAAGGAGGAGCCTGTGCTGCTATAACTCCCTGCATGCACATACACAATCCCATGGGCATGGGCATAGCAGAGAGGTGGTAAAGCTGGTTTTGAGACTGAATGTGTTGATTCTCAGATGCTGGGAAGCTACAGAAAAGCGTGAAAAAGACTTGAGAAGTCTCATAAAAAAGAAAGCCAAAAGGAACAAGATAGGTACCTTTATAAGACACCCTCATTACTTGCAAGAGGACAGTTTAAAAGCAGTTTTTAATGAGAAGGAAAGATATATAAAGCAGAAAAAAATAGCCTAACAGCTCCTTTAATCAAGACCCATCTGATGATTAAGTTATATAAAGCCATAGAAAAAAAACACTGAACAAAACAGCACTGTCTTTGGAAAAACAGAGGAATGGCTGTAGGACAGATGCATTCCTGAATTTACCATATTGTGTACAGAGAAGGCAAATGTTGGGAAGCTTTCTGGCAGGTTACTGCACCTACAAGTGACCGAGCACTGTTTGCCAACTCTCCTCTCCCCCATGTTCCTGTATCCCTCTGCGGTCCATGCCAGGAGTAGTTTGCTACATGCACAGGAGCAGGAGTGCTGGTGCAGCAAGTCTGATGAAAAAATGTGCAGAACACCCCAAGAAATACAGACAGGATGCTTAGCTTTTCATCAGCTCACCTGAGGCATTTCAGATCTGCTGGTGATGGAGATTCTCCCCTAACTCCCTTTAGCAGTAAGAATCATCTTGTGATTTTTTTGTTAACTTCTACCCACCCACCCACACCACCCCCCAAGTAATTAAAACCTTGCTGCCAAACTGGCTGTGGATGCAATATAAAGGCAGCAGCAGCTAACACAAGCCCCACAAGTCTCTTTGGCTAGTCAGACAGTGTTAGGAAGAGAAACAAGGGAAGCCAGAATCTACCTTGCCCCAGCAAGCAGCAACTAACTGTCCAGCGGGGAAAAAAAAAAAAAAAATCTTGGACATCCACAGCTTGGCTTGGAAGAAGAAGAAGAAATTGCACTTACCTGAGTGGCTCAGACACAGCGCAAAGAGCACTAGGCAAAGCATGGGCACCTCTGTGGCTTTTCCTTTAAATCTGGTATTTTATTTTTGTAAGTGAATTGGTCTAATCCTCGGGACCAAAACAATCTGGTTAAAAATCAAGGCGAACAATTGAGTCTGCAAGGCAAGACAGCACCTTTTGAGCCTTATCTTGCCTCATTATGATGTTCCGTAAATCACACTTCATTGATTTTAAGTCAGCTGTCACATCTTATAAGCCTAAAACAGGGCTCTGGGTCCTAAACTCTGACTGATCTGTTTGTGGTCGTGTTTGGATGGCTATAGCCACTGCAGTCTAGGAGTAGAAGTGAGCCAAGGATTTTAAGGAGGAAAAATATCTTTTATTATGCTGCCAGTCACATCTGGGGGAAACACAGGCTGTAGATCAGACCCAAAGATAGATCACATGCCTGAAAGTATTGTTTGCTCCAGCTGTATCAGTTGGTCCAATAAAAGAAGCAGCCTCCCTACAGACCTAACTTCGCTTATTCATTTTTCATACTACACTTGCAGTTTTACACCCCTAAAATGGATTTTGGGAGGAAAAAATGCAGTAAGATCCGAGAGGGAAAACAGAGCTGTTTTCTAAATTTATATCTCATCACTCATATACAAAACTTCACAGACAGTGGCACAGAAATGCTTGCACAGTACAATCTATTGGTATGGCTTAACCAAGTATGTTGCCCCAGGACTTGGTGTTTAGCAATGAGAGTGATGGGGCCTTTGATTATCTAGCCAGTTCTTCTGCAGGTGTGTCTCCTCCCTAGCAACACCTCTGACAGGTCTCCTTTCAGAAGCCACCAGAAACTGCTGATGCCAAAAGAGATGCAGGTTCCTCTTTTCCTGTCCCTCTGACACTCCTCTGCCGAAGTACCTCAGGATCTTCTTGGTTTTCTTCCTAAATGAAAGTCACTTTGTACCCTTCTCTTTGAAGAGGACCTTTTTCCTTGAACTTCTCAAATTCAAGGAGGAGTGCTGCAAAATTCTTTTAGCTTGCAAACAGACCTGAAACTTTTCCTGCTTTGATTTATTCTTTCTGGCTATTGTTTCTGTCTCAGTGCTGGCAGAGTAATCCCCTATATTTGCTGCAAACAAAACCATTTGTAGCTATTTGCATGTCCTCAGAGTTTGTCTTCATCCACTGATACACATTTATAGCCTAGAGGAATTTGACTGTTTGCTGACTTTTATATGGGAAGCCTGTTTTCCCCAGCAACAACTGGCCCCATTTCACGCCTTGGCACAGATTCTGGCATAGTCATAAGATATGTGATTCAGATTTGCCTTATCTAAGGTCCTCACAGAGGACTGATAACTTGCAGCTGTAATTTTATCAGATTATTCAGCTTCCTGTAATGAAAAAGATGTCATTTCACTGTGGTTCAAAGTCACATAACAAGTAACCTTCCTGTAGTGTCCTATCACTTTATCTGTGCTGCTGTGGACTTGCAGGCTGTCTGACCCATAGTCCTTGGGCAGGCCACGGGCAGCAGAACAGTGGGTTTGCCTTTTCCACCACTGTACTATACACAGGAAATCTGCAAGGCCCCTCGTTAGCTCCCCAGCTCTGCCAGTGTTCACCTACGAGGGCTGGAGAAGCAGCTGGTTTCCTCTGCACCTTTTCCTCTGCATCACAGCAGCAGAACGCAACTCAAAACCAATGCTGTCTTGAACTGTTATCACCAGCTCCTGTCACGACCAGCCTGCTCAGTTTACTTGTTAGATCCAGACTAGGCATAAGCATACGACTCGTCAAGGTGCATGGTAAGGGTCTTTTTTTAATGTTGGCATCAAACAGACGTTTGACCGGGGTGGTGCAGACAGACAGCACCACAACCTGCAATAAAGTTGAACATGGACTAAATATAATTATCCTGCCTGATGCAAAATTTTCTGCAACAAAGCTACCCCTTAATAATGTTCCATGCTTTCCAGCATGTTTCTGGTCCTGTACAGAGCTCTGCAGCCTCAGTCATCATCCTCCACCTTTGCTGAACCACAGATTCATGACTGCTAGCTCCAGCCTTTGCCCAGTGACACCTCTTATCCTAACTACTGCCTGAGATTATGTCCAGGAACAGTTCTGTTAGACTATGCTGCATCACAGACTGGAGAGAAACTTGTTTTCATAAGGTTATACCTGCTGCCTTGAGGTAATTAAGTTAATCTATTAGCTGGCTATAGAAGTAGTTCTGCTAAAACATGGTAGTTGTTTGGAGGGAAATAAGGTGTGTGCTTGCTTTACCATTGTCTCCACCCACTGCTTTGGTGGCGACAAGAGGTAAGGACCTAGCTTGCCCAGTCTTTAGCTTCCAGAGTTATCTGGCAACCAGAGGAGGGTACTGGAGGAAAAAATTGTTTGCTTGCTGATGATGCTTTCTGTTTACAAGCCTTTATTCAGCCATGGTCTCCAATGTTTTGGGAAGGGAGGTGCACAGGAATACTCCATTATATCAGCTGGGCCATGAGGCATGGGGACCATCCACCCTGCGGCAGCAAATGAATTCCTGAGTAAAACCTGAATCTTCTCTTTTGAGAACATTACTGGTAGGTGTCACACAGCAGAGTGTGGAAAGTGGTTTTTCCAGGGAAAGGTGGCAGAGCTGGCTGGCAACCAGGGAGAGGGGAACTTGGGCTGAGGGAGGATGGTGGGGAGGAAGGTTGTGGATGGGAGATGCTGTGAACCAGAAATAAGAAATCCCATTTCCAGAACCAAGAGCCAGAGAGGGGTTGCTGGGGTTTTTAGCTGCAGGGAGGAGGAAGGAGAGGCTGCAGAGGTGAGGCTGCTGCAGCAGATATGGGGCAGGAGGCTCATTTCAGGTCAATAGCCTCATCTCTACCCTGGTACTTCCTCTCCGATCCTCTCTGCTCTCAGTCCTCGCAGTCAGCAGACCGCTCTCCCCATGAGCAGCTTCCTAAAACATGCATCTTGTCCAGGCGAGGGATGTTTTTAGCCCAGCTTCTCAGCAACCTTTGCAGCACCAGACACTTCCACGTGCCAGACGGCACGGCGTTTGCAGCCAGCCATCCACCTGCCCGTGTACCCTGAAAACAGCCTTCCAGCTCCCTGTGCCCACCAAGCACCTTCCTACTGTCACTCCTCTTGGCTTGCCGGCGGGCC